CTCTCTCTCTCTCTCTCTCTCTCTCTCTCTCTCTCTCTCTCTCTCTCTCTCTCTCTCTCTCTCTCGCGTGCGCACGCGCGCACACACACACACACACACCCGCGGGCGGACAATTACACACTCTCTCTCTCTCATAGTTCCAAGACAACAAAAAACGAAAGCAAGAGAGGAATAACACACTCACCGTCAGTCGTCAAGGTGCGGTCGTTCGAAAGCCTTGACGCTGCACAGCCCAAGCCTCAGTGTCCAACAGTCAGGTGGGTGGGTGGGTGTGTTTGTGTTTGTGTTTGTGTGTGTGTGCCTGTATGTGTGTATATGTGTGTGTGCATGTGTGTGGGTGTGTGTGTTCTGTGTGGGTGAGTCCAAGTATGTGTGAGTGTTGTTATGTTCGCAATACAGAACTCACAAAATGACTCAGCCAGACTGTTTCGTCAGACTTCCATGGACTTCAAAGTGGGTATTCCCGGGTACAGAATCTACAGATGCAGTTTTCCCAAAAATATAAAATGTCCGTTTTAACGACATGGTTGTTACATGGTCTCTAGACTCTCCAGCAGCACATTTTCTGGGATGGTCCCAATGGAAGTGGACTAGCCAGCGGTGCAGTGAACCGAAGTGGACTGCCGGTGCCTGGAACGGCTGGAATAATACTGGTTGCGGTGGCGGTTCCATTTGTGATTTAGGGTGAGATCCCACTGGCAAAGAGGATCGTAGTAAGTGTCTGAATGTGGACGTGTTTGAGGACCCTTTTAGTTTACTGCATAACTTTGGATTCCACCTAGGCTACCAGAGTGGCCCGGGGTCACTGGCCCGGCCGGGCCAAAAAAATAAAAATAAAAAAATTATTTTTAGTTTTTAAGTTTTATTTTAATTTTGGTAAAGAATTTCGATGTGACCCTGAGGCAAAAGTTGTTCAGTTTATTTTTCTGCATAACATAGTTGTTTTTCGGATTTTTTGGATGTTTTTTGTTTTTTTTTTTTTTGCTGGGACCTCCTTGCACGGGCTGGCCACCCGGGACCCGGGCGGCCCGGCTGGTAGCCTAGGATTCCACACAATCAAATCATCAATAGCAAGCTCCCCAGGTAGGGTTTGGACCTACGACCAATCGGTTAACAGCCGACTGCTCTATGGCTGAGCTACTGAGGAAGGCTAACTCTCTTCTATTAAGTGTCTGAATGTGGAGGTGTTTGAGGACCCTAGGGTGAGATCCCACTGGCAAAGAGGATTAAGCGTCTGAATGTGGACGTGTTTGAGGACCCTAGGGGGAGATCCCACTGGCAAAGAGGATTGTAGTAATCTGAATGTGGACGTGTTTGAGGACCCTTGGTGTTTATCCGAACTGTTGCTCTTTGTCTGACTTGCTGTTCTGAGTTTTAGGGCCAGATCCCACTGGCAAAGAGGATTGGAACAAGTGGCTGAATCTGCACGTGTTCCACACAGAGATGCAGAAAAACAGTTCAATCACAATTGTTTGCACCTCTCCACAAACACATCCAGAAAAACAGTTCAATCACAATTGTTTGCACCTTCTCCCCCCCCAAGGAAGCCGTGGATGTGAAAAAAAAAACAACAAAAGGGCCGGTAGGCCCCGTTTGAACGAGTTCAAATGCCCGCTCATCTGGGCCGTCGATCCTCAAGATCGACGGCCCAGATGGGCGGAATTTGAACTCGTTCAAATGGGGCCTACCGGCCCTTTTTTTTGGTCTGCTGGATCTTGTTTCCCGCCAACGAAGTCGGCGCCAGCGTTCGTCGTCGAAGCCAGCGCCCGCCAACGAAGTCGACGGCCCTCCCCCCCCCGACGCCCGCCGAAGAACGCCATCGTGCCGGCCCAGCCTACGCCGCCCGACGCCCCCCGGCGCGCGCCACGGTGAGTGTGTGTGTGTGTGTGTGTGTGAGAGAGAGAGAGAGAGAGAGAGAGAGAGAGAGAGAGAGAGAGAGATCTTCTTCTTCTTCTTCTTCTTCTTCTTCTTCTTCTTCTTCTTCTCCCTCGCTTTGTCTTCTTCTTCTTTTCCTCCTTCGCTTCTTCCTCTTCATCTTCTTCTTCTTCTTCAAATTATTGGTCTTCCTCCTCCTCTTCGTCCTCTCCTCCCTCGCTTCTTTTTCTTCATCTTCTTCTTCCTCCTCTCCTCCTCTTCTTCTTCTTCTTCTTCTTCTTCTTCTTCTTCTTCTTTTCATTGCCCCCCACTGCCCGCCATCGACGACCACCAGTTCCGATTTTTTTTTTTTTTTTTTTTTTTTTTGTCGGTCTACCTTCTTCTTCTGCTTCTCGCCGTTGTTTCCCATCCCCTGCCCGCCATCCTCCGCCGCCAATAATTATCATCATCATCTTCTTCTTTTTGATGGCGAATGAGGTTGCCGTGAGTGTGTGTGTGTGTGTGCGAGAGAGAGAGAGAGAGAGAGAGAGAGAGAGAGAGAGAGAGAGAGAGAGAGAGAGAGAGAGAGAGAGTTTATGTA